CCGTTACAATTGAATGTACAGGCTATATCAAAAAGGATTGGATATATTTGAATGGTGATCTCGAACAGGTATTTGCACATGAGACCAAATACTGTTGTAACTCAAAATTGTAGCATAAAGAAAACACGATTTGAAAATTAAAAAAATATAATAAATAATATAATGCCGATATTACTGCTTGACGGCAGAAATGCGTAAGGTGGCAGTACTTCCCTGGACGAACTCTTTCACAAGGAGCTATACTGCTACGAAATAACTAATGTGACTATATTATTATTATATTTGTTACCAAGTCTTGATATTAATAATAATAATAACGCGCGCACACTCATAGCCTATAGGGAAACCCATAGGGAAAACCTGCGTCGCGGGTGCATGGATACACACATAGACAACCACAAATTATACCCAAATTCACGAGAGAAATAAATTTAGATCACACAAATATTTCTCCCGGTCCGGGAATTAAATCCGACACCTCGGCGTGGCAGTCCAGTATGGCAACCGTCCGGCTTTGGAGGCAGTTATTATTGATTATTAAAATAAATATCAGGCAATGTTTGTTGCTTCATTCAGTATTTTTTTGAATTTTCAAATCGTGTCCTCTCAATTCCATAACTTTGAATTACGACAGTATTTGGTTTCACGTGGGATATATACTGGGGAAACTTACCAGGCTTTTTGTCATGAATTTATATATCAGTTAAAATGTCGTTCTTTTTCTTCTTTTAGTTACACCTGCAGGTACAGTATGAAACTAACTTTACGTGTCCTATTCGTAGTGGATACCAACCGCATGTGAATATATACTGATAACGTGTCATTTAAGGTTATAATGGCTCGTTATGACTAGTCTTATTTGATTATATGGGGGCGAGTATTCCATTATTTGCTGCTGCGGGAAACTTTCTTTCTGAAAAGTGTTCTTTAAGGAACTGATGCAGAGTTCCTTACTTAACCCACTATTATATTTATTACAAAATAAGGTAATGAAATAATCATAAACTTTAGCGGCAATCAGTGTGCTTGAATCTTAAAATTCACTTCCACAAATTTGCATAGATTTCTAAATTTTTATGCGTCAATTTTCTTGGTATCGTACTAACGGTAAAATTTTTATAACCATCTTCTCTCCTAAATTTTGCAACATGACATTACATTTTGTTTAAAATATTTTTATGTCGTGCACAGTTAATTTAAAATTCTATGACAGTGTACGAAAAAGGTAAAAGAGCCGGTGTTATAGCGTTCTCCCGATAGTAAATGAAAGTGGGGCATCAGTCTGGTGTTCGGGTGTTAATAAAAGCATGATAGCGATCACGTAGTAACAACTGGACTATTAAATTTTCCGCTTCATTTTGGCGACAAACGGTTAGTGAACGGTCCGGCGCGCGTGACGCGAGTAATCCAATCAAGCGGGGAACGAGGGCTAGTTCCGTCGAAGTCTATTGCTAAGCATCCGCTATGAAGTTCGATATGGGCGGTTTGCAATTACTGTTCATTTTCCTGATAGTGGTTAACATTTTGGAAATGAAAACTGTTTTATCGGATCGAATTCGCGTGTACTTGTTTTTTCTGGCTGGTCAGTCAGTCGTGGCCGTGGCGCCTGTAAAGGGCCCTAAATGATGGTTTATTTCATTAGTTTAACATTTTTATATAAAAAAGCGACCTCAAAAGTTTATGGAATTACATCTATTTGCCAAGTTTTATTGAAATCGGTTGCAGAAAGTGGATGAAATTCCATAAACCGGTTTCATTCCCTTAATCGGAATATTTTCTTACGATTTGAATGAGACCAAAACTGGGGTACTTTCCAACAAAACAAAAATCATCGAAATCTGTTCACAAATGTTGGATTAATCCTGTAATATACACAAAAAAAGTACAGCGGAATTGAGAATTTCCTCCTTTTGTTCTGAAATCAGCTAACAACATTTGTTGTTATAATACCAAACGCGATTTAAATCCGAAAAAAAATAGTTTCATTTCCAATACGTCACCATCGCGAAAACCTTTATTTCTATTTTCATCTAAGTATTTATTTAGCGACACGTCTACACCGCTATATAATCATAACACCAATTATAATCTCACTAATTCTGGTTATCGTAATATAAACATTGAATACAACTACGTCGTTCCCGAAGACTAACTCGTATAAGAAAACAAACAATATGACAAAATCTACCATCTGTTTACTCTATAAACCCAACTATTTACTATTCGTGTATAAGGAATAGGGCAAAAAAGAACGGGGACAAAATATAAACAGAATAAATATTGAAAAATGGCGTCAAAAACCAAAAACCTAAAATGGTGTCAGTCTTCAAAGCATAAGAAATGTGCTAAAGACATCAATTACGGGCTTCTCATTGAATAAAAACTCAACTGTCAATCAATGACGATGTTCGATAAGATTATTGACAATTTACTTTTATTGCGCCTCAAGCCAACAAATAAATTGACAATCTTGGCAGGAAGAATGTTAATTGATGTCTTATATTGATAAATGTCGTTTTATCAATGCAAATGTCTGTTGGCTTAAGTTGATTGATATGCGATAATGATAACATGTAATTATTTTTAAATGCACGGGCGTCATGTAAGGCAAGTGTAAAGTAATGTGGTAGACAGCCTAATGTGTGTTGGGTACTTCCACATCTCGTTGGAGAGTTCATACTTTTCATACATTCAACTGCCTCCGTGGTCGAACGGTTCCCATGCTGGCCTGCCACGCAGAGATCCTGGGGTCGAGGCCGGGAGAAATATTTGTATGGACTACATTTATTTCTCTCGTGAGTTTGGGTGTAATTTGTCGTTGACACAGGGTTTACCTAGGATGACCACAACCCAGGGTTTACCTAGTACGAGGCTATGAGTGTGTGCGCGTTATGTTATTATTATTATACACAATTAAATTTAATATTTTTTTATGCTACTAAGTGACCGGACGAACAAGACGTGCGCCTGGTGGTAAATGTCACGCCTGCCCATAGCAGTTGCAGTGCCGCTCAAAGGGCACTGCCACAGCGCCCGTCACCGTGAGACATACGTTCAAAAGTCCATGGGTCTGTAATTTCAATACATCCTCACTCTTCAAAACCGGAATGCTGTAATGCTCGCATTATTGCTACGTGTCAGGAATAGGTAAGGTGTCATAATAATGATAATAGTAGTAATAATAAGAGGTAATAATAATAGTAGTGCCAGACAGCCACACCAATTACCTGGTTACAACTAGGAAGTTCTGTAAGAGTACGCATAGGCGTATCACAGCACAACCCGGAACACTCATACTGGGACTAATTAACAAAAACTTCGTGTGCCACATTGGACCTACCGGAAATCGAAATTGGGACCTGTAGCACTGATAGTGCTAACCGCTGAACCACAGAGGTCGTCAAGAATTACTTGAAAATTACTTTAAGAATTTCATAGGTTCTCATAAAATACCGTAAATAAACTGCCTATTCATTATCTACTGGGACCGAAAAAAATCGAGCAAATGTGTAGACAGACACTTTTATTGAGAACGGCCGGGCAGATTGTTGTCACGAGACAATATGGGCCGGCCGACCCATACATACACTTACAAAAACTTAATGAAAGTCGAAAGTAACGCTTTCACTAGTCGACGGTATTGTACTCTGAACCCATTGTAGAACATTCACAAACTCTTGTATAGCTAATTGTTAAATTTATCCAAAAACGAAGCGGTCATGTCACGAGAATGTAATGATTGCCGATAAATAGTATGCCATTGCGAAGCGTTAGGTGGCCGATGAAAGCAGATGGAAGTTAATTCAGTAATTACTCCTTAATGGAAACCTTAATTACTTCCTTGACATAGTGACTTTTGACCGAAAACTATATTGAAATATTCAAACGGTGGTTTTGTGCGCTATATATTTGATACAGCCATCAAGAACTTTACCGTTAAAAAACTTTAAATATAAAATGTCGAAGTTCTAAATATAAAACATTCGAGAAAAAATTATTAACTTTTTTAAGCACTAAAGAAAGGCGTAACAAATTTATTGTCAGAGTATCTCCTTTAACATTTGAACCATTCTCCGTGAACGTAATTTTTGTTGTCTAGCAGATTTTTGGAAAAAAGTTTACACGATCTTACACAAATAGTACTTTCAACAGGTGCAAAAAAGACTTGGTCAAGTTTGAGTTACAGCAATTGGCGTACTAAAACATCTTATTGAGTGATTTCAAATGTTCTGCTTGTCTCACAACGCCACTGCTCCATAATATCAATATCTTTTGTGTTTTTCTGTAGAGACGCAATTTAATTTGTAACGGCAGTGAACTCGTGTCTTGATCCACGAGTTTAATGGCAATTACAATTTCAATTTAGTACAATTATGGAGTCTGTACGAAAAGAAAAGAAATTTCGTAACATAATTTAGAAAGCCTAGAATCCTGAGTTCCTGGGAATTTGCAGATTTTCGTGTTTACGGGAAGTTTTTATGAGACGTCTGTGGAGATACGGTCACACCCTAAAGTATCCTCGTGTTAATTTGGGTCTAATTATTTTCCATGGTACCAGGTGACGACGGGGCGATCAAGTCGTTAGTGGTAAGCGACACGCCTATCCATAACAGTTGCAGTGCTACTTTAAATCGCAAAGATCTGAGGGTCACTGCCACTACGCCCGTCATCGTGAGACGTAAGTTGACAAGTCCGTTCAAACCGGTTCAAAATTGTAGTAACTAGCCAAATCTTAATTGAGACGATTTCAAACGGAAGTTAACAAACGTAGAATTAAAATTAATACGCAACAAACCGTTATCACAAAACAGCATTTCATCGAGATCGGCAAGTTTTTGAAACTTCCATGACGAATGTTGAGACAATCACGCATATTGGTAGTAGTTCTTCAATGGTTTTTGACTATGGTTGTTTACATAACTGTTTGTACATAAACCGAAGATAAATGAATTTGTGTTCTGTGAAGTTACTTTGAGTTTTAATTTTTACAATATTCTCACCTGTTCGGCCTTCGGTGGAAGGAGAGGTGTCTCCCAGGCTTGTCACAAATCTCCCCAAATGATGGCGCGTTTCCCTCTGTCAACCGACGCCAAAAGGCCAGACTGAGGATGCCACGATACTGCCGTTACCGCTGATCTGAGACCAATAACACATAATTATTTTTTCTTATATTGTCTTTATTATAGTTGAAGTTTAAGACTTAAAACTAATTCTCCTTTTACAGTTATCAGTCTTTAACACATACAGAAACATGAAAGGATGGAAACAAAATTAAGAATTTCGCGGCGCATTTCGATTAATCACTCTTCATATCGAGTAGATTTTACTTTGAACCATTTTCGACCGTCTGGTCCTAACACTCCTTCCTGGCAAGGCCGGTCTGGGAGATCGGCACTGCCCGCTCGCTGCTCTTCTGTTGTGGAGCAACCATTGGCGCAATGACGCCGTCAAACGACAATCGGGATTCCACGTTTCTAGTTTGGAACCCTCTGGCAGCGCATACTTACTTCCGCGTGAACTGATGTGGGACGTTACCGTGTTCATCTTGTTTTTTTTTCGAGTTTGCTCTCAACGATTACGAAGCCATCGGCGGTTTTAGCAGAGATATCTTTAGAGGCGAAATGTTGATCGTCCAAATTGATTTGAAATTTGACTTTTTCGGATTCGATAATGGAACCGACGCCTCGAGTCACATTTGCCAGCTGACGCCATGGTCGATAGTAGTCTCGAGACATCATTGGGTGCAACGGCCGTGGTGAGCAGATCATCGGGAGTCAATGCTAAGCCGAAGTCCTGGTCCAGCAGGCGATGGCGATGGTGATGGTGATGAGGGTATTCGTAGCCCATCAAGGTTGGTAGTAACAGCCCGTTGAATCGTTACTTTCAAATACGTCTTCTACATTCTGCAACTACAACTGCCTCCGTGGCCGAACGGTTACCGTGCAGGTCTGCCACGCAGAAGTCCCGGGTTCGATTTCGGGGCCGGGAGAAATATTTGTATGGCCTACATTTACTTCTCTCGTGAGTTTGTCTGTAATCTGTTTGTGTGTGTGTGTCCATGGCAGTCGCGATACAGGTTTTCCCTTGTGCGGGGCTATGAGTGTGTACGTCGTGTGTACGTGTACGTCATTCTTATATGGTTTAGTTTTTGAACAAACGGCAATTTCATAAGTAAGAACCTAAGTGTATTTTGAAATTATTTATTTTATTGAATATCATGATGTTTTTACTGCCATGATATAATTTTTTTGAAAATACTCCATTAATTTGTTACTGATCGAACGACACTAACAAAAATTCCTTCTAACTGACTAGACTCGTATGTTGATTGAATATACTGGACTAAATGGCTCAGTTAGTAAGAGCGGTGGCCTCGGTGTTAACATTTATATTATATATTAACACGGTGCGTTTCTTTAATCAAACACAAATAAAATTTTTGTGAAGAGAAAACATTTCGCGACACTATGCCGCTGCCTTTCATATACTTTTATATCTTTTCGTAGACTGGTATCTTCATACGAGAAAGTTTCACTTTTGGCTGGAAATGAGCCGTAAAAAATTCCAGCTTAGAAACTCTGACAAAATCTAAGTTCAACAGGTCATAAAAACTACTTCGGTAGCTATTTATACTTTTATGATAAAAGAGTGGCTGTGACCGTTACTGTTCTTGGAACTTAGTTGAATCTTGGCATGAGGAGCGATGGTCTCAGGCAGCGGCGGCGACGGCGGCGGCGGAGTCTGCTTGTGTTTATACGTTTACTAATATTACGTTGGCGCTTAAAACCATGTCACTGGCACTTAACGATACGCATCGTGACTTTTAATAATGTGCGTTGCTTAATAAAGCCGACAAAAATGTATCTATTAAAAAAACTGACGGTGAAGTTGTTTGATAATATAATTGAAGTTATCAAAGATCTGTAATCGTCTTTCGAAGTCAGGTAATATACATAACTATTATAATTTATGAATAATAAACAACCGTTTCGTGGGCTTCGTAAATATAAACTACAATAATAATAATAACTAGATTTCATTGTTATACAAAGACCGAACACTAAGAAAAATTCCTTCGATCCGGCTCAACGCCTTCAAGCATACCGTGCCCGATGCTCTCCCCACCAGACCTTACGAATTTTTTAGTGTGCTTGTAGCAGATCTTTGTTTTTGGTTTTTAACTACGTTTTTGCCGTAGCACCATCTGTGAGATATCTATTTCTTCACTCAGCCAGGTACCTTTACAGCTACCAGCGGCAGCGGTTGACTAGAGATGTCGCTTTAAATAATTGGATATCAAGGCAGTAAAATGTGACATTCAATAAACTTTACAAAATGACAATACTTAGATTTTTTTCTACTTTTTCACTATATATGCTCTTGTTTAATATAGAGCATACAACTATAATAACGAGGTTAATGACTTTTTAAAAGTTACCATCTTAAAATGCCAACTCAGGATAACTTAAAGTCTATGAAGTGTCCACGGCTCAGAACATGTTCAAATAATCCATTTTGATTCGGGCTAAAGGCGGTCAATCTGCGGCTTAACATGTCGATTTATGATATTTTATAAGGGTCGGTACCTTGTGGGTACCGCTTCAAGAATAGACTTTGATTGTTAGGGGCCGCGTAAAGGTTTTCTATTGTATCTATGCGGGGCAAGTCTCGTCATAAACAAGAATTAGCGTCGGGTTTGCTCGGCTCGTTTACACATACCGCTCCCGGTGTAACGAGCCCTGGGGTATAACCTATCCAATATGGGAGTAGGAAGCGTACAGGCCGTAAACATGAATACATCTGGGCACAGTGCGCCGCCCGCCATCGCCAATTGTTTCCTTATTGAATAACATCAAAGAACGCTAACAAGTGCGTTATTTATTCATGTATTATAACTAATTATATTATAAGTTTGATAGAGTTTGACTGTAGTTGTATCTTACCTTCGCGTTCTTTTGTTGTAGGTTAATACGAAATACGAATGTTAACTCGTTAACGTACAAAAGAAATTTCAAGAAAAGCGTGCTCACAAAAATTTAAAAAAACCTAATATACAGGGTTTTGTGAACTTCATGCAGTCGAGGTCTGGATAACGACTTCACGCAAACTACATGCAGTCGAAACCGACTTCATGCAGCCGAAATCGACTGCATGCAGTTGATTACGACTTCACGCATTAACTGCAAACATGCAGTCAATCTATTAGTCGATGATGTCGGGAAAATTTAACGTTCTTATTAATTTTTGCTTAAAAAGAAAATAATTAGAAACAATTTAGAATACACTTTAAGTCATAATTCTCGGTACACATACATATATTTTTTGTTTTTAACCGACTTCAAAAATGGAGGAGGTTATACGTTCGGCTGTATGTATATTTTCAGATATCTCTGTTAATTGTGGACCGACTTTTAATATTCTTTTTTTGTTTGAAAAGGTGCACTCTCGTGGTGGTCCCATTAATTGTCACCACGTCAGAATCTGATGAGGGGATCCCATGAAAATCGAAGGAAATCCTCAAATTTTATAGGCATGTCCGTGTCTTCACCAATTTTACCCAACAATTATGCACCGATTTTGAAAATTCTTTTTTGTTTCAAAGGGTATACTCTTGAGGTGGTACCTGATGTTGTCCTGGGTTCGTTTCGGCTATCACAAATTACTAATTATTTTCGGCAAATAAAAGTCGACTTTTTAATTGACGCAATATATTTAATCAACAAATTATATAACAATTATAATTATAACAACCAGAAAAGAAAATACATAAAAACAGTACAGAGTACTAAAAAAACCGACCTCAAAAGTCATTCATCTCCTAGTTTGCCACCCTTAGATTGGAATATTTTCTTCAAATTTAAATGGGACCACATCTGAGATACCCTCTTTCCAACAAAAAAAAGAATCATCAAAATCGGTTCACAAATGAGTTGTCGCGTAACACACATACAAAAAAAACACACAGTCGAATTGAGAACCTCTTTCTTTTTTTGAAGTCGGTTAAAAATGTATAAAAGAGTCCGTAACAGTACCATTGTCACCTAGAAGTCAGAATCTGATGAGGGGATCCCATGGAAATAGGAAAAAGCCGATAAGCAAACTTTTGAAGTCTGTTTTTTTCAATGAACAAGTACAGCTATTTACATGTACATCAAACCTAATACTGCAGTAACTCAAAATTGTAGAATTAAGAAAACACAATTTGACGATCAATAAAGAATGTGATTATTTTTATTTATACTTAATATTTAATTATTCATTTATAAACGAGAATATAAATATACTGGTTTCATTATGTTTTTTTTTTTAATTTTCAAATCGTGTTTCCTCGATTCCACAATTTTGAGTTACAACAGTATTTGGTTACGTGTGGGATTTGTTTTGTATTACTTAAAATAGTCGTTGATATTTATTATGCTATATTTCTTGGTATTTCTTCCACGAGAATACAAGTTCCGAAATGGGAGTAGTATTTCATTAAATTGAAATAAGACTAATAAAAAACAACTTTTGCGCTTACTTTGAATTTTGTTATTCTCTTTTGTGGGTCTTTTGCACAGAACCTACATAATGTATTATAAGCAATGGTCGGAAAAGGTTTTCCGCATATATAGACACATGTACAGATATAGCTACAAGGAACGACATAGAGTTGTTAAAATCATCAAATATTAATTGATTACCGTTTCGAATTCCGGATTTCCGGAAATGGTTTTACTGCATCGTAGGACAAAACCATTGACATAGTAAGTCGAAGTTGGATTTTAAAGTAATTCTAATAGCGCCTTGTAAAAATGCAGTAGATTACTGCCTTTCCCAAAACAGTGAATAAAAAAGTAACGACAATGGTCACTCTCTGCCCTTCCCTACCTTTAGACACCGCATAGTGACGGTCACATTGGCGAAACGGCTACATTTGCTAGTAGAACTTAAGAAAAAAAATTACAATTTTATTTACGAGGGGAATTTTAGGACTTTTAGTTTGCATGAGAATTGTTGTGATCACGCTCTAAAAATATTTTATTTAAATTCAAAAACACAGTATAACAGATGTTCATAAATTCGAACTACTAGCAGAAATGTCGTAATTTTAAAGGAAAATGTTTACACTAGATTATTTTAATACTTTTTAAACA